GAATCCTTGGTGGGGGATGATGTGGAAGATGAAGATATTTTATTTTTATTTTTAAAATTTAATTTATTTAGTGTGAGGAAAATGTAAAATTATCATTTTATCTTTTTTGATTTGGTCAAAATTTGATCATCTTTGACTTCATTGGTCAATTAAGGATCCATCCATTTGGTCCCCAAATGCCATTTTTTTTCAAAGGTTTGATGCTTTTGTTGATACAAATTCAAGGTTAGGGTAAAATCTATAAAAAAGTGAAAAACTAAGGATCTCTGCTGCAATTTTCCCTATTTTTAATCCCTATTAAGGAAGTGGTAGAGCTTTCTTAAGCTTATGAGTTGGTCAAATTCATTTGAATTCAAAAATTTTATGCAGTCTTCATTCATATATTTTTTTGTTTTACCAAACATTCAGTAAATAATTATTGTTAATGTACAATGCCCTTGTGCATGCTGTTACTTGAAAATATTGCAAAATTTATTTCAACCATTGCGATGACAAAGATTTCAATAATAGCAATTATTATGTTTCCCCTAAATAGCGTCAAATTGTTGATTTCAAAATGTCACGACGAATCTCTACATGTTGCTCCGTGACCTCTATATAGCAATAGACCTACAAAATAGAACATACCTAAGGAAATTCTTTAAGGGAAGGATCTTCGACACTCAAATCGTGTGAATACTACTACAATAAAATAACTTTGTCGCATATAATATAAAGTGAGAATCTTGCTTTATCGGTCATGTTTGTTTCCACTTTAATTTGCTATAACACAAAATGTTGAAATTTTGGATTTTTTGGTATTCATTTGACTATATTTTCCATGGAAATTGTTCATTAAAGGGAAAAAAATTTACAATTGGGGATTTCTCCTTTTTAGTGATTTCCCCCTTTATGTTTTTACTTACGAAGTTTGGCAAAAACAAAAATAGAATAGGCCTTATTATTCCTACATGTTCCCATTCCCTTGAGATGTTACTACTTATTTTGCTTGTGTTTAATATTTCACGATTCAAAAAAGAATAATTTATTGGATATAATTGTTTCCATTGCCCAAAAAAAAAAAAAGAAGCTGAAAAATCATTTTTCCACCAAAGTGTGAATTTAGTTGGAACAGTAACTAAACACTTGCGGGTAAACTACTGGTAAGATGATAATAGAATGCCTTTAAAGGTTAAAATGTCATGTTTTAAAGAAGAAAAATTGCTGGAAAAGAATGAAAAATGAGGTAAATAATTGATTATTGAACTAATTAAAATTCAAATAGAAATTATAAATAATGCACGAAATAGTCTGTCTCGTAACAAGTGATGAGAACAAGCGCTATGACTAACATTCTGGAATATGTGAATGTTCAATCAAGCCAAAATTTCGTTCATATATCAATGCAAGAATCCATTTTTCCATCTTACAAACTATTTGAATTCTATTGAATGTTCGTGTGTGCTCAAGCACCATGAATAAATCTTCCCAAATAGATTGTTCAAATATCTAATAGGTATAAGAATCCTGGGATTCTGCCTAACGACCACGTAAAAAAGAGATAAAAAGTTGAAGATAAGATTGTGAGTTTACATCTCAAAACTCGTCGTTCTACATCACACTTAAAACAATTTTAAGGGATAGAAAAATTAGTGATGTTGGAAGGCACAAGATATTCCAAAAATTATTTCAGTTCAAAACCTGGCAGGGACTTGTCCACTTCTATGTTTTGTTGCGCAGATGAGTAACATGGGGAATAAGCTCCTGCAAATGAACGTTAAGAGGGGAACACTAAAGTTAAGAAGAAAAGCAGATTTAATTTCTCATCCATGTGAATTGTAGAGCGAAAAGTCAAGAACATAAGGCAATGTTACCTCTGAACAGCGGACCTGATCTTGCCGTGAATTTGAAGTTTTCACAATAGTCTCCCACGTGTTTTCATTGGCTATACCCGTTTGAGCCTGTTTCTTGGGGTGATATTGGCTGGATGTGAAAATGGATTTGGCAAAGAAATAGAAGGCATGGTTCGCCAAAGCCAAGATTCAGAGGGTGACTTTGGTAAAGGTGGGGTTAAAGGCGACTTCAGGGATGGAGAATCAAAATCTCTCTGATTGTCTTGTTCTACGTTTTGTTTATTATTCACACCAGAGTTTGCATCAGAATCCACTTTTGAACAATCAACTAATGAGCATTCTCGATCAAAACTTAGATTTGGTAGAACCATATCAGTTATTCCAGACAATTTAGGACTCCGGCTTTTCCCTTCCACTAAAATATCCAGGGAAGATTCGTCCATATCAGAAGATTTAACAGGACCATTTTCTTCAGTTCGTCTACTGTCATTCGACGACTTCAGATTCTTATCAGAGAAATCAAAAATCTTATCTTCTTTTGAACTATCTTTTATAGTCACAGCATCTATATACAAAGTTTTTTCAACAAAATCACCTGGAGAACACGATACTTTTCTTTGCTTGTGATTCCTTGATACGTCTTGCAAGGCATTGCACAACTTACGAGATGAAGCAATCTTATTAGCATTGCGTCCATGAAAGTAAGATTTCGATGTTTCATTTTGGTAGGGAGAAATGGGGTGACTTTTGAGCAATTTTGGGACCAGGCTCTTCCCTCCCACAGAAACATTCAGGGACGATATCTCTTGATCAAAAGATTTAACTGCTTCAGTTTCTTCAGTTTGTCTGCTTTCATCCATGGACTTCAAATTCTTACAAGAGAAATCAACAATTTTCTCATCTTTTGAACAATCTGTATTAGTTGGACCATCCACATACAATGTCTTCTCAACGGCAACAACTGGAGAACCTGATCCCTGTTTATGTATTTGATTTCTAGATACATCTCGCATGGGCTTCCACATTTTGCGTGATGAAGCAATCTTATTTACATTATGATTCTCAATTTCTTTAGGTACACCAAGAAACCTTGCACCTTCATGAAATGGAGACTTTGGTGCTTCATTTCGGTAGGGAGATATGGGACCACTTCTGCACTGCCTTAAGGAAGACACCGCAGGTTTAAAAGAGTCACTGGAGTAAGAAAACTGATTGGAATCACTCCATAGCTTGTTTCCAATTTCTAGCATGTCCCGAGATAGTACTCCGGAATGAAATTTTTTCTTATAAATTGCATGATACACATTCTGCATGGATTAGAAATATCAATGATCATTGACAATATCTGCTTTCAGAAATATAGAAATGGCAATAGAATTTTAACAGTTACCTTGTCAACAGGTCCACTGTGCCCATTTCTGGTCAGTCTCCTAACATCACCTGCTGGAGACGTTGGAGCATGGTTTTTTGATTTCATTCCAGGCAATGGACTTAAAAGGCGTAAAGAATTCTTCACACAAAACCGAGGGAGTATCCCCCAGATTTTTCCTGATTTTTTAACTGGAACAGTAATTTCCGAATCATCATCTACACTTTCCACATTCTCCGTATACTGAATGTAATGTGACCTAATGTTAGAACCATATTGCTCAAGTAAAGGCTTCCGTTCCCCAGAGACGACCTTTTTAACTGGCTTTGGGTGTTCAACGACTGCCGTTTGCTTCTTCACAACATATTGGGGTGTCTCCAACACAACAGCCTTGGCTGCCGGTAAGAATCTGCTCATCATAAAATCTTTAGTTTGCACGTCTACAGAGAATGTTCCTGATGGTTTTACTCCCGAACCCTGATATCCACTCAGTCCACTTACACTGTAGTTCAAGGACCAAGATTCTGTTAGTGACAACTTATCATGTGCGTCAGAATATGCATAGTCTCCACTTTCAGTATCGGAATCATCTCTAGAATTTAGACTCTCATGCAATTTCTCGATCAGACTAGCATGATCGTTGAACGGAAATGCTTCAATTTGGGTCCTGTTAACATTCAGATCATTCGATCTTTCCCCTGAATTGTATCTCGGGAAACCAGATACTCTCCCAGAAAGGAGCTTTGGACTTTCACCTGAATTATATCTGATGACACCTGATACCCTTCCCGGAGGAAGCCTTGGTGTATTTGAAGGTTCCTCTGGAGGGTGAATCGGACCCTCTTTTTCTCCCTTAGGCCTTCCAGGGATTTTTTCCCAGTGAAATGGAACTGCAGCTGGTTTTGTCACTTCCCCAAACTCACAATCTGATTTGCACTCAGGTAGAGAATTTTGTCGATTAGGGGTTGACTTTCGTGTCGAGTTCTTGTTTACTACTCACTCAGAAGCGCGTGTTGGTGAGGAAAATCTCCTTACAGATAAAAGTGGCGCGTTGAAATCTAGTTGTTTTTTCGCCATAAGTTCTCTCGGCTATCACCAATCCTTTTGCATCCCTATGCCTCAAAGCTCAACAAACTACAAAATATTTACAAGTAATTGTCACTTAATCATAATACGAAAACAGAGAGCATGGGAAAAGATTACAAAATAAGGATCACTTAATGTACATTAAATACCTTTAACCAGTCCCTTACTTGTTCAGGAAAATAATTTTCTTACAACTAATACAAAGGACAGAATAATAAAGGTTAATTATATTTAGCCTTTCTTGGATTTTCTACAATAACCAGCTCAACCATTCATCTACGCAAACAGGTACAAGAAAAATGCAGCCAATAATTGTACAAAACCTCTAACTTCAACAATTATGAAGGCCAAATATAGATACAAAATTTACAACTCTGACATTTTTTCATCAACCAAACCCAACCCCAGTTAACTCCTCATAAATACAGTAATAAAAATATCACATAGCCCATCCTGAATGAACTTCCTTGAATTTATTTCTGCTCCTTATTTAGATAAAAACTTCGAAAATCAGAAAAAATAAAGCAAAAAGGGAAAAAAGATCTTGCTGCTTGGTTTCTTGATTATTGCCCTTTGATTCCCAGAAATTATTTCTCTTATCCAACAAAATTCAATATAAAAAACTATCTGAAAACACAACGTTAAATGCCATAATAGATCTTCAAGAATTAAGTACTGCCCCGAATTGATAGAAATCAAGAACAGGGTTTAAAATAAAAATCAAGAAAAGCCTCAAACTGCAGAGGCTCAAGAAACACAATCTTACCACACATACAAAGATGTACTTAAACTGGGCTATAGTGTACACGAAACAAGATTGCAAATGAATCATCAGAACTCTTAAAACACAAACCAAGCCCAGATAATTTTCTTACCTCATAGCGAGAAAGAGCAATATTGGGTTGTGGGCCCGAGACTGTTCGGCCGTGAGTTTTGGCAAGAAATGAGGAAAGAAAGAGTAAACAGAAAGCAAAGAGAGAGATTTTTTGCTTGTGCTTTTCAAGTGATAAGTACATTAGTGACTAGTGAGAGAATGTGAGTGCATGTGGATATGGGATAGTGGTGGGGGCTGTGAAGACTGGCTTCATTCATTTGTCTGGGGGATAGAGGGGACAACGGTCACGGATGAACCGTTGGGGTATAACGACAGATGAATCCAACCACCTTATTTTTCTCAGTTAATAATCATTAGTTAAGAATAAGCAGCTAAGCCTACTCTTCTTAAAAAGATTGACTTTTTAAAATAAAATCAGAAAACTTAGCCTTGTTTGGTTTAGTTAAAAATCAGATTTTTAATATGTTTTGATAAAAGTTAATAAAATACATTGTTGTTGAAAATAAGTTTGAGAAAAAAAAAAAAAAGACTAAATAGTGGCTTCATATGGTATCAAAATTCAAAACCTTTGAATGAGCATTAAATTTTTGCAAAGCTCAAATGAATAATTAGATTTCAAACAAGCCACAAATTTGTGAAAACATGTGGGGAGAAAAATTGCACCTCCTTTAAGTCTAACAACAATTATCAATATACGAAGGTTTTGATTATTCAAGTTAACAAGTTTGACATTTTGAGATGGAACTTAATACTAAAATTACAATCCTCAAGCTACTTAACCCGATGTGTGGAGGGATTGAGTCAGACTATCATTATAGATAGTTTTTTTGGGTCTAAGTGGTGTTAAGTTGTGAAACCTGAATATTGTCGATCCGCGGAGCTAGTACTTGGATCGACCTCCATGGTGAGCTCGGCGTGGATTGGAAGGGGGTCGGACCAAGATTTCATTAAGGATAGTTTCAAAATTTGTATTCTTGTAAATTTCGTCTTTATAATTTAAGTTATTGTAAACCTCATTTTTGTCCTAATTTGTCTTATAAATAGAGAGCAGTCATTATATTTCTACATTACCATCAGAAAAGAGAGAAAGCCGGGTTGGATATGTATGCGATTTTCTCTTGTAACCTTCTTTTTATTATAGTGAATTATTGCTTCCCGATAAAATAGAATTATAATTTCTAATTCTCAACTACTAATTAAACTTACCACCTGTGTTGAGGCTCACACTTTTCCCTAGTTGTATTGAAACGTGTAACCATTGACTAGAACAATTCAATTCTAAAAGTTAGGGCAGTCGTCAGACCTTTATGCGAAGAGAAGATATAATTATATTACGCAATCCCAGTGGACTAGGTCTATTTGACCTGGATTGTGGAAAACGATTGAAAAAGATATAGGCAACAATCTATTTCATTGTGTTACGCTCAAAATTGCCTTACCAAAAAGCAAAGAAAAATGTTATTTACGGTGAAAACTATCGGTAGCCATCCTGCGTAACATATCACGTTAACGTGTTAAATAATAAGCTATCATGTATATGCTACGTAAGACGACTACTGATAATTTTCTCTATAAATAATATTACTCAAAAGCAAATGTGGATTTAGATTATGCAGAATTGTCTTCTTTATTGACTGCGAAAAGGAAGACCCTTTTTTTCTCATTTGTTTTTTATTCAAGAATTAATCTCCATTAAGGGTCAGTTTGACATACTTTTAAAATTAAAAGCTATTTTTGAAATTAAAAAGTTACTTTTAAATATAAAAAAACGAAATTTGAAAGATTTAGAGAAAATTGACTTAAAATAACTTACCTAAAAAATTGAATAATATTATTTGGCACTAGTGATGGGGCCATGCTTCATAGGTTCAAATAAATGAGTCATATGACATTACATTTAAGTAAATATATTATTTAATGTCAGTAATTGTCACATAAACTGATGCTTATACTGTTGATGATGATTAGCATTACACAAACAAATTCTTACAAGAAGTAAAAATGAAAGTGGAAACATCACGAGCCAACCTCTTTTTGTTTCATAAAAGCGAAGAAATGGTTAATCAAGAATGTCTGTTTCCACACTACATTACATCCGAGCATTGTCTTTTGTCCGCCAATGTTGACTGCATAAATCAAGAATATCTTTATTAGTTGAGGCCAAAATACTAGGGTCCTACTTAGGATTCGACACTGTTTATACTAAAGATAATTTTATCAAATTTAATATAACCCAAAATGAAAGGATCGTATCTTGCCTAACATGTTACCCGAAGAAAAAGGTCCCTAATATCATGGTGTCTTTATCAATCAACTATTTTATAATTTTAAATTGAATAAAATTATTTACTAGTCATATTTTGAACAATTATGCTACTTGTACATCCGGAGTGGGGGCTTGCGTTTTTTTATTATCTGCGACCACCCCTATGTGAGGGAGTGTCAACATGAGGGGGTGTCATACACGGTGTCAACCCCAAATGCTACACAAGTAGCATTATTTTGTTTTGAATAGGTACCTTCACTTCATCTAACAAGTAATAGCACAACATTTTTACAAATTAGAACGAGACATGTACGATTAAGGTCCATTTCATAGCTCTATGAGGATTCACATCTATTTATTTAAATTTTGGTCTTCAATGGTGTTATAATTCTCGTGAGAATATGCGATTGGTGTGTTGAAATAATTAATTGCAAATATAAACAAATAAAAGTTGACACAAAATAATGAAGGATAAAGTTAGAAATGGCTAATCTCGTAAAGTTGCAATAAATGTTGTCCTATATCTTGTGATCTTCCCTTCGTTCGAGTTCTATCGGCAATGTACAATTCCAAAATAAAATTCTTGTAGCTCACAATCAATTATCCTTCGATTAGCACGATCAGAGAGAGAGAGAGAGAGAGTATGTCGAGATGCCAAAAATATAAAATACAGTGTATCATTTTTAAGTCGTGTCTCAAACACGAAAATGACCATCCTTTTATAATGAGAATATTCAATACCCATTGAAGAAATTTATGTCATTTAGATATGATTTTAATTCTCAATTCAAAAAGGTTGAATCTGTATTAAATCTAAACATTGAAAACAAAGACCAAAACAGGAAAAAAAAAAAAACCAAATTAATTTTGAATGCTTAAAACTTTTAGCTTCTTACAACAGACGTCGTCCGCAAGGTTTAGATAATTAAAATAATATATATATATATATATAGTGACAACATAATACTTTACTTTACAATAGGTGTAGGCGGTGTATGTGTCTTCCGGACATAAACCTCACTTAGTTTGTGTTGAGTATAAAATTTTAGTATGTGACAAAATTTTTTTCCACCATTTAAACGAAGTTTCAACATTGTTCTCAACAATTACAGTATTCAATATATAACATGAATCGAGGCCAGCTTCACTTCTTATATTTTCAAGTGTTCCAGAACTTATCAACATATCATTAACCATTATATTCTTTCATTTAGCAATCCCATTGGACTGTGGTGAATAAGAAGGTCACCTATATATATTATACCATTACTTTCACGGTTTCACAAATTACCTTTAGTGTCCGTTTGATTGTAAGAATAAAATTTGGGTAGAAAGAAAATGAATTACGAGGAATTGTATTGTCTAAAACTTGTTTTATTGGGAATTGTCAATTAATTGTGTTTAATTGGTATAATTTTCCATCTGAAAAATATTAAAATTTTTGATCTTTTGGTGTTCGTTTGATTTTCATGAAAATTGTCCATTAAAAGGATATAATTTGTTACAATTGGGGATATAATTTATTTTCATTGTCCAAAAAAATAAATTAAAAAAAAGTTGCCTAGAAAACATTTTCCCACTAAAGTGGTGGGAAAAACTTTTCCTCAAAAATCAAGAAAATGTAAGCATGTGAGTGAAAGATGGAAAACAAATTTCATGGAAAATTTGGGCAATCAAACAGCAAAAAAGTTGAAAAAATGAAATTTAATTTCTATCTTCCATGGAATTGAAGTGTAATCAAACAAGGTCTAAGTTCATTATAATTACACAATTCTCCTCTCTCATATCTCAAAATTTTGTCTCTCCTTAATTGATTTTCAACCTTCGCTTAATAGATCTTGAACTTATCAAAGATTTCATCTTTAGTTTTCAATAAAGAGATATAAAATG